AGGGTCGTGTTCACGCCGGCTCCTCCTGTGGTAATTAATTTGGACTCCCCCCCGGCGGATGCGGAGAGGAGTGCGGCTGCGGCGCCTGCCCTTGAGGGCGGACAAACAATGGGGGTTGCCCCGGTTGGCTTAGGTCGTGATGATACCGTCGCTTCGGCGACTCAATTGGTGGTTCCAGTCGCTGAGACGGGAGGTAGTTCCTCAGCGGCTGCTAATGTGGGTGAGGCAAGCGCTCCTACGGTGGCTATTGCGGGTGGTTCTACCTCGCCGGTAGCGGAAGGAGGAGGGGATGCTGTAGGAGATGAGTACGAGTCCGAATCCGACTTGGACCCCGACGACGTCCGTATGTTCCGGGAAGGCTTCACCAATTCAGTGGTGCGCGCAGAGGGGCGATCTCGCTTCGTCGAGGTTCCCACGGAGTTGAACTTATTGCTCCAAGGGGAAAGCTTGGTGCCGCAGTTCGAGCTGCTATGCTCGGAGGCCGAGAATGCGTCGTTGAGGGGCGTTACGGATATCGGACTGATGAATGAAGTGGCCGTGATGGGCTTGAGGGTATGTACTATTACGTCGGTTCGCTTCTTCTTTGCCTTAGTTTGTTCTTTATCTTAATCGTTGTCTTTGCTTTGCAGTCTTATTTGTTGGAGGTGGAGAGCATCCGTCGAGCCAAAGTCCGCTCGGGGATATTTTTGCGGGCGCTGGAGAAGTATCGCCGCTACCGGGATCAGTGCCGAGAGTTGCGCGTGCGCTTGAGGAATGATCCCCGTAGCCGGGCCTTGGTCGAGGAACTGGCGAGGCGGGAGCTTCAGATGCAGCAAACACTTGGCAGAACGAGTGCTCTCGAGGAGCAGCTCCGCCGGAAGGATGAGGAGCTCGAGGCGGTAAAGAGAGCCGCAGCTGAGTGTGAGCGCCAGGGCCAGGCTAAGGCGGCGGAGGCCGCTGCGGCATGGGGCGGGAAAGTGACTGCGTTGGAGGGTGAAGTCGCGGTATTGAAGCTTCAGGTGAGGGATGCCTCGTCGAGGGCTGGGGCGTTAACGGAAGCTATCCGCGTGCACGAGTCCCAACGGGCGTTGGAGAGGGCTACTGCGGCCTTTAGAGAAGCGAGTCTCGAGGAGCGGATCGGTGTCTTTGAGCAGGACGCCCAAGTCATGGCGGACCGGATCACAGCCTTAGAAGAAGAGAATCAGCGGCTACGGGATCAAGCCGCTTCTTCCAGCCAGGCTCGAGAACTTTGGGTCTTTGCCGAGGCCCAACATGATGTATATAAGAGTTTGTGGGAGGCTGGCTTCGTGACCGAAGCTGCTTTCGAGGGGGCGCGTCAGAAGGCTCGTGAGGCACGTGCCGACTGTGGTTTTGACGCGGCGACGCCAGAGGCTGACGCTGATGCAGACAGCATCGAGTAAAAAGATGTTTATGCACTCTTTTTTTTTTATTTCTTGTATTGATCGGCCTTGGCCGGGTGTAAGCGGGGATGACCCGCAATTGACTTTGTAAATATATAAATTTTCTTTTCCATTGCCTGCCTTGTGCTTGTTTTGTGTCACTGTTTTTTCTTTCGTTCTTTAGAGTTTCTGTTGCGCTTTTTGTTGACCGTTCACGTTGGCGGCCCTAGTTGAATTTAGATCGACGACTTTAGCCGTGATAGAATTGACGGCCTTGGCCATAAAGGCAACTTCGACTGTCGTCGGATCGTTTACCCACCGCAGTCGAATCTAGGTCGATTGTTGGCGGCGATGGCCTTAGCCATAATAGAGTTGATGGCCTTAGCCATGTAGGCGACTTCGACTGTCATCGAGTCGTTTACTCACCGTAGTCGAATCTAGGTCGACCGTTGGCGGCGATGGCCTTAGCCATAATATAATTGATGGCCTTTCTTTTTCAACTCGTTGCGGGCGAGTCTTAGCCGTTTTTTGGCGATAGCGGCGCTTAGCCTTAGTCCCAGTTCGGACGCGGTCGAACTACCGGTCGTGCTGGTAAAAAACGCGGCCTCGTAGTTTGACTGGGGCCGAACTTTACGTGGCCCGAATCTTAATTCGAGTTGGGAGAACTTACTTGAATGGCAAGGGTGCCTATCCTGCGCTTCGATTTGTTGGAGGTCGGGCTTTGCTTTCACAGATGAAGGCGTTTGGCCTGAATCTCGGTTCAACTGTGGTTGAACTTGCTAAAGTTGAGGACGAAGGCGTCCATCCTTGTAGTTCGAGCGAGGTCGAGCTCGTTGGATTTAACGGCGAAGGCACATAGCCTGAGTCTTGGTTCAACCGTGGTTGAACTTATTCGCGAAGGCGGGTAGCCTGAGTCCCAGTTCGACTGTTGTTGGACTTTGTTAAATTTGGTGGCGAAGGCACATAGCTTGAGTCGCGGTTCAACCGTAGTTGAACTTTTTGGTGAATGCGCATAGCTTGAGTCCCGGTTCAACCGTAGTTGAACTTTTTGGCGAATGCGCATAGCTTGAGTCCCGGTTCAACCGTAGTTGAACTTTTTTTGGCGAAGGCGCATAGCCTGTCTTGGTTCAACCGTAGTTGAACTTTTTGGTGAAGGCGCATAGCCTGTCTTGGTTCAACCGTAGTTGAACTTTTGGTGAAGGCGCATAGCCTTTCTTGGTTCAACCGTAGTTGAACTTTTGGTGAATGAGCATAGCCTGTCTTGGTTCAACCGTAGTTGAACTTTTTGGCGAAGGCGCATAGCCTGTCTTGGTTCAACCGTAGTTGAACTTTTTGGTGAATGCGCATAGCTTGAGTCCCGGTTCAACCGTAGTTGAACTTTTTTTTGGCGAAGGCGCATAGCCTGAGTCCCGGTTCAACCTTAGTTGAACTTTTTTTTTGTCGAAGGCGCATAGCCTGTCTTGGTTCAACCGTAGTTGAACTTTTTGTGAAGGCGCATAGCCTGTCTTGGTTCAACCGTAGTTGAACTTTTGGTGAAGGCGCATAGCCTGTCTTGGTTCGACCATAGTTGAACTTTTTGGTGAAGGCGCATAGCCCGAATCCCAGTTCAACTGTTGTTGAATTTTGTCGATCTTGATGGCGAAGGCTCATGGCCTGAGTCCCAGTTCAACTGTTGTTGAACTTTGTCGATCTTGATGATGAAGGCTCATGGCCTGAGTCCCAGTTCAACTGTTGTTGAACTTTGTCGATCTTGATGACGAAGGCTCATGGCCTGAGTCCCATATTGTGGGTATTGAGTGCTGAAGCTCGGTTTGGATTCGAGACCTTGAGCGGCTCATCCGTTGTCTTCCCAACCAGGGTTTATAGGCTGTCTTGAGGCGATTCTCGATTCGAGATTCCTCCGTGCTGGTTTCCGGCTGGAGCCCTTATCAGGGATGTAGGAGATCTCTTACGAAGATTTTCCCCAAAAGAGAGGGGGGATGGCTTCTTCTTCTTGTTTGCACCATCCGATAGATGAGAGACAGAGGAACTGGATCTCGATTCGAGATCTTCGAGTTCCATCGGCCTGATATGCCGCTTTGGCTTGTTTATGCGGGGCTGCTTCTTCTTGTTTGCACCATCCGATAGATGAGAGACAGAGGAACTGGATCTCGATTCGAGATCTTCGAGTTCCATCGGCCTGATATGCCGCTTTGGCTTGTTTAAGCTGGGTTGTTCTTCCTTTTCCGACGTTTCTTTCCTTTTGGTCCATGGAAGAACTACGCGATTTTGCTATGAAATCCCCACAGACGGCGCCAAATTGTTTGCTCAAAAGTTATCACATATCTTATGAGTGCAAAACAATACAAATAAGTTACGGGAAAATCATAGCAAATCGTAATAATCCATTGGACCACATGAAGGAAACGAAAAGAAGTACTCAAGGTTAGGAGAAGAAATCTTAACAGCCTTTATTGATAGTATTGGTTTGATCTGCCTCTCCATGAAGAGGTTCAGAGCCTTACAATGGTGTTTTCACTTCCCATAAGATGGGTATGTTTTTCTCTTCTCTCTCTCTTGTCCATAGTGGTGAAGAAGCCGCCCCCTTTCTAGGGTTCCCTCTCTGGGTATTTATATCTGTGGGCTTCGTCAGCTGGCGATAAGTGGCCGTGACCACGTTGGGATCTCGCCTTTATGGTGGCGGATAGGCCATGGCCCTGTCGATCGAACCAGATGCGGGTTGAACATCGTCAATTCTGAGTGGTCGTGCCATTAATTAATCATGAATTAACTTAAAACGGGATTAGCCTCGTTAATTATCGTGGGGTCGAATTCTGACCCACACATTGATCTTTCAGGTGTCCAAATTTAATCTTCAACTATCTATTGAAGGTTAGAAGAATAGCATTCTCATATGTAATTGCTAGTTGGCCCGCTTTGCACGATAGACTGTAGCACCACATTCCAATCTTGAAATACACTAGGGTTTTGTGGTAATTACCTCCTATTGGGTGGATCAAGTACAATACGATTGGACCATGTAGAGGTAACTCTGGTAGAGTTTCATATGCATTTTGTATTAGAGATGGGATTGATGATTTACTATATGCCTAGGCTGATGAAATTCATAATGCTACAAATAAATAGTTGAAGCTATGACAATTCTGGAGCCACTAATTAGGTACATTGTTAATGAACACCTTCCCCCTTGTGTGATTGAAACTGGTTCATTGCTTATAAAAAATATTATGGATGGTCTTTGGGAACCTCACCAGAGCATAATCAGGTATAGTGTAGAAGCTAACATGGCATACCTTGAACGACAATAAATCAGTTAACAAAAGAGAAATATACCAAAAGAGATATAAACATTTAACGTGGTTCGGTCAATTGACCTACGTCCACAGGCAGAGAGGAGCAATTCACTATATAAAAGAGAGTACAAAATATCGAGAGACCAACCTCACAAAAAGGCACGCACAAGCGGCAGGCTAACATGTTCCCCTTCCTTCAAAATGGGAAAACTAAATATGATAAGAAAATCAGAACAAACACCTAACCAGGAGTTCTTATTGAACTTACCTAAACGAATTTGATTTCGAATAAATTGGAATGGTAAAAAATTTTGGGCCGTCATATTATATTTCTAGATAAAAGGAGCAAATACAGAGTAGTTTTATGAATAGAGAGGATAGTGGGGAGGGTGAAAATGAATCAATTACAGTTATAGTTGAGTGGAGTTGTAGCTCTATAATTAATGAGTGATAAAGATTGCGGTGAATACAACTTGTATAACGTGTAGTTTTGTCATCTCTCTGCTTCTTTTTCTCTTTCTCTCCTAATCAATTGGAGAGCTCTCTAATATCTGTTCCATTACTTCCCTTATTAAAGTCCTCACTGCACCTCCATCTCCCCTTGTTTCTGAGGTGAAAGAAAAAGGAAGCTTTTTTATCTCAAAAATATAAAAAATAAAACAGAAAACAAGAAAGCAGAAGGAAGATCATATAGTCATGGGTAAAAGTAGGCCATCAAAATCAGACTCTAAAACTTCAAGATTGCTTGAACAACAACTTGTTGCCACCAAAAAGAGGTGATTCAGTTCATAAGAATTTAAAGAACACATATTTATACTACTAGTAGCTGATTTATACTTGTCATATTTGTTTCGATAGACAGAAATACATGAGCATAATAAAAGGGGGGACTCTGTTCTTTTTTCTTTCCTAACAGCTGTGAATGTCCTAATGTTAGGAAGGTGGCTCAGAAAGTTGTGATCACAGTGCAAATGGAAGCAAATGATATAAAGCAGAAGAATGAAGGGGCTCCTTCAGATTGTTGGAGCTGGAGAAAATATGGACAGAAACCCATCAAAGGATCCCCTTATCCCAGGTGCATTTACTATTTCTCCCCTATCCGAATCTGTTAACTCTTCTTTTGTTAAAGCTTTCATTTTCCAGTGTTTATCCAAAATTTTAACTTCAATATATAGTCTTTAGTTGAACCTGTTGAATTTGTATTGCATCCGCCCATGTTTATACGAGGGTTAAGTCACTAGTGTGCATGAAAATTCTGGCTCTGCCACAGCCGATCAGATCATATGTACCTTGCCTTGATTCCCTGTGTGCATATCTTGGAGTGCTTTTTAGTTGCCTATGCTTTTGAGATCCTTATTTACATGTGAAGAATTCACTAAGAATCAAGTGGATCGTTTTGGATACAGGGGTTACTACAAATGCAGCAGCTCAAAGGGTTGTTCAGCTAAGAAACAAGTAGAAAGGTCCAGCACAGATTCATCCTTGTTCATCATTACATACACATCCACCCATAATCATCCAGGTCCAAATTTTCCTAACAAAGACTCCCCTCTCAATCCTGTTACACAAGATTCTTCCATGACTCTGCAGCAACCAATAACGGATCGACACGTGTCCCTCGAAGTCAATGACAGCATTTCCCTTGTCCAGCAAGAAGAGAATCAATTCACTCATAAATTCTTGGGAACAATTTCATATGATGATTTTCTTCCCCTTTCTTACCCTCAACTAATGAACTTCCCAAAATCAGAATTGTCAGAAGAAAATGACTTTTATGATGAACTAGGAGAATTACAACTACCTCCATCTTTTACTTCCTTTGCAGGCATTTTTGAGGAGACAATCCTTGTAGATCCCTCTTAGTAAAACTGCAGAGATCACGGTTCACATAGGTTTCATTGACAGGTAGTAGTGATATCTTAAGTTTGTGAATTTCTTGATGGGTAATTTGTTGCCAATGCCTGAGGTCAAATCATTTCATTTGGCACATTGTAAGTATGATATCACAGACGGAGACTCAAATACATTTGTAGCCATGTAAAGGAAGCTCGCTGCTTTGTTTTTTATAATAGGATGGACACTTACATTTTTTGTTTTTAGTTTGCAACACTTTGTGTTAACCTGATTTTCTTTTTCTGTGCGCGATAATATTTTTGTACTAGTAAATTTCAAACTCAGAATATTTGTTTATTCTGATGCTATGCTGATAGAAGGGGAGCCTTGGCGCAACTGTTATAGTCCGACCCTTCCCTGGACCTCGCGCATAGCGGGAGCTCAATGCACCGGGCTGCCCTTTTGATTGATAGAATCAAGCATCCAACTTGAAATCTTAAGGTAATGGGTGAAACAACTCGAAACATTTAAAAATTTCTCATCATATCCTTAAAATTGGATACTTGGGACATAGTATACCCCCTTTATAATGATGCTATCTATGCCAAACTTGCACTCAATTATTTTATTGGGTACTTGCTACACATGTAATGGATAACTCTGTCCATCAAAATTTTGGTGAGATAGAAAAATATTACTACCTTTTTTGTTTATGTTAAAATTTGAAGTCTGATTTCTATAGTTTTCACTTCATTACTTTTTAGGACGCACCCTCGAGTACCGGAGGGACATATCATACTTTGTTTCTTTTGGGACCACAGCACCACAGACTAGTGTCTTCTTTTGCACATACTTGCGAGCAATAGCAGACACATTTTTCATGGAGTGGGTTTGATTTGATGAGGAAGAAATATATATTATATTATAATAGGCAAATAGACAGATCGATGTTGGCATTTTGCTGCATTATAGTAATGGTTTAAAATAGGTATCTGTTCTTTGCATTGCTAAAAGTTTAGATACCAATGAAAATTCCAACCCACGAGGCAGAGCGCTAATGGGCCATAGAGGATATTGTCTGCTAATGCTTGCACATACAGTGAGTGACTACATTCAATAAGACTATAGGAATCAATTATCTGAATAGTCTATTTAAGTATTTGTTGCTTACAAGTAACAAGTTGCCTCAGCTACAAGCTGTGAGTTCTTTCTCCAGCGAAAGCCTACTTACAGCTCACAAGGGAGAATATGTGAGCAGGAAGCTCACAAAAACAGTAATTAGGTTCAAATTGTTTCTCAAGAATTTCACAAACTACAATAGCAACCAAGAAGAAGGAATAGCTCTTTCTTCTAAATTTTAAAGCAACAATTTTCTGCTCTCCTCTTAAACACTTGCTCTCACTCCAAAAACATTTATTTAACTGTCAAAAATATGCCCATCTCATGTAGAATATGAATGCCAATTCCCTTCTTGTTTTAGTACAACAACTACAACTCAATCCCAAGTTAGTTGGAGTCGCATATTCAATTTAGACCCGTCCGCTTCCAATATTCCATTTAGACCCGTCCGCTTCCAATATTCAATAAACTATATAAGTTGTCAGGTTTTTACTAACATACAAGATTGTACTCTGCTTTTGCTAAATCTACATGGATTCCAAAAGATAGCAAGTCTTCCAAGACAACTTTCTTCTATATGGTTTTGGATCTAGCTTATCCCTTTTAACACCTTCAACCATTATTGTATGCTACTTGCACCTTCTATCGAAGGTGATCATTTCTACGTATACAAATTTGTTGTACCTTAGAGATCTAACATCTCTCATATAACATTATTTGTCTTACAGCTGAACTTGCCAATTTGTTTTACTAGGTATCTTCCTATCGCACAACACTCTAGGCAGAAAATTGACTAGTTTTGTACTAGACTTCAACGTAACAAAACCCTTCTCCTTTATCTAAGCTTGGAACCAACTGTTGAACACAGCAGAATTACTGAGGTCTAACTAATTACGAGAAGTCATTCAGTGAATCACATTTTAGAGGGTTGGGATAAGCTTTTATCAGAGGTTCAGACAGATACACTTTCTGCTGAAGTAGTAAACACCTCCTATGAAAAAACTTCCATCAGAAAAACACAACATATAATTTGACATTCCCCAAAGAATTTACTCCTAAAGAGAAGGCAACAATCACCAAAAATGGCATGACTATGCAGCAATGAGGTTGACCAATGGTTAGAAAAATATACAAATAGGGAAAACCAAATAAAAAAGGAGGAATGACAAATGGACTAGGGGCAGGGCGGCATACATTTATGAGGCAACAAATAATCATGTACACAATTTGTTCCCAGATATAGCTGGTCCTAATTCCTATATATGGAAAAGATATCCGCATTATCCTTGCTTAAATCTACACAATATGCAAGCGCATGTTAACAATTTTTAGCAGGCTTTCAAGCTTGTCCTTTCATGAATTGCCTTGTAGCACTGAAGACTGCAAAGAGGAAGATTTGTCTTAGAATCACGGTACTTGTATGGATTCACACAGGAAGGACCAGCACATTGCTCACGAGGGGGAGGGTAACTGCAATTGGCAATAAAAACACAATCAGAACCCTTAGCAACTTTAATAGTGCTACATTCATGTAGCAATCAAGATATCCAGGCTCCACCTCCTGTCTCCAATTCCACAGAGGACAAGAAAAAGGTGGGGATGGAAAACCCCTTACCTAGGTTTTGAGTCAAAAAAATGAGGTAAACCCATATCTTCAGGAAATGTCACAACAGTCCCAGTAGGGCCCATAACCACTCTGATAGTGCTTTTCGCAAGCATCTGCTCTTTGGCAGCCTTCTCCTGCCAGAAAGAACGTATATTAATTGTCAGCTTCATAACATCGCTATGAAAAGCCTACCTATGAACAAGCAGGTTACCTGTGCCAACTCTTCCTGCCGCTTCTTTATTTTATCTTCTCGCTTCTTCCTATTGGAATCTTGACCTAGAATTTTCCTAATTGCCTCAGCCTGAAAATTCCAAATGGTTATGCTCACTTCATCATCATATGACCTTAGAAGAGCACATATACAGTAAGCAGGAAAAAGGAACAAGGGCAAACCTCTGATTCACGAGCAGCCTTCTCATTTTGCATTCTACGTTTCTGAGCAGCCTCCGCTTTCTTCAGTTGCTGCTCAACATCTGTGAGCTTCTCCTTTTGCTCTGTCAAAAAGCAAAGATGGCAAGGCAAATTTGTTAATCAGAAAAAGTTCTAGAGCAAAGAAATAAGAGTGGAACATATATAACTACAGTGTATTACTTCGAGGTGGCGCTGGTGGTAAACCATCAGGGAACTCAATTTGACTCGCAGAAGAAGCAGTAGAATCCTTGCTAGATAGCAGAGCTCGTTGACGTGTTGTAAGAGTCATTTCTCCTCTCATCGTTTCAATTGGTGAATCTGAGGATTCCTTCCTTTGTTTCTGCTTCTTTCTTCCTTCAGGCTCACCATCAGACAGGAGCTCTTCCACCTCATAATCAGTGTCCTCAGGACCTTCCTCTGATTTCTTCCTTACATCTTTCCTAGAACTTCCCACATTTTCATCCTTTTCATACTTACAAACCTTTGAAACACGTGAAAGACTTCTTTTCTTCGTCAATTCCTCCTCAAAATCTTTATATCCTGCAAACTTTGAGGTTTTAAGCTTCTCCAAGTATCGAATTTCATCATCATTGTCATCCTCATCAAACCCCTCCGAGACACGCCTTTTCGGTGCCCTCTTACTCTTACGAGTTGGATCTGATTTGTCACCTCTTTTTTCGAAGGCATTCGTCATTGGTGTCTTCCCCATATTGCCTTTGCCAGCATCCAAAGTGCCTCTTGGTGAATCTCTCCACAAATTTCCTTGCGACCCACTTTTCTTTTCCGAAAGACCGTCTTCACTCGAAGTGTCCTAAAATTTAGAGGAAAAGGTTAATGGACAGCATTGAGAGTATATTACAATGATAATCTGACCAAAAGTAAATGCCAAAGATTTACAAGCAATAAAATAGATTTCTATCTCTGGTTAACCCGCTTTAGATTAATCACGATATGCATCTTCGAAAGTTTGGCATTAGTTTTCCAAAACTGTATCCAACATAAGGTAAGGGGTAACTTAAACCCTCTGGTTTTCCATGAAGTGAAACCAGATTTCTTGCTAATACTTTAGGGGAAACTATTAGTTGTTAACTCATCCTTGAAACATTTGAATCTTATGCACCTCACCGTTTTGTTCCCTAATAAACCTATAATAATGCAACAACATCTATCTACATGTTTTTCTTTCCCTGTTCCGAGAAGTTAGACAGGAACAAGTATAGCAGCGAAACTTAAAAATGTTATGCGGCTCACCTTCTTTTCAAAATGATCAAACCAACCATAATTATGAGGGAGACTACGTTCAAAGCACAATTAAAAATTCAAGCGGGTTTAGATATTCCAAATAATTAATTGCTTGAGAAGAAGCATGTAATATACCTGCTGGGCAAGTTTCTGCCGTGGCAGCGAGGCACCTAAGGCTCGAGCACTTTTAGTAGACAAATCACCACCATATGCACCATGAGAATCCGTTTTGGTTTGAATGGTGCGCGTCACGCCCCCAACTTTCAGCTTAACCTTTTTCAGCTTGTTATCATTGCCAACGCCATCCTGAACAGTCCCTGATTTCCTAAGAGAGGAGCCCTTCCGGGAATATGTATCATCTCCTGGACCTCCATTACTGTATAACAAGCTAGATCCCGTATCCTTATTCTTCTTAAAAGTGTAGTCCTCATCCACTCTCGAAGCAGAGCCTCTAGACATGCAATGATTAAGGTTGAACATTTTCCGTCCAGCATCGGCATCACCAGTGTTCTCATCACTGGAAACCCTACCAACATCATCTGAAACTAGTGTTAAGGGTGACTGATCACAGATTTCATGAAAAACCGGCATCTCTGGTCTAGGTCGCCGCAACATGTGGCTTCTTTTCTTTCTAACAGTAGCATTGAGCCCTTCAAATCGAGTACCACCAGATTCATCCATGACATATATCAAGTGTAGGTCCCACCAGCAACACGTGTACTAATCACGGCAAAAAGACGACACTAGCTAAATGAGTTTGGTAATTGCTGCACCAAACTGGCAACTACAAGCATTTAAAGACATATCCTTTATTTGCTAATTCATTTATGTAGAGAAACATCAATAAATAAAAACGATTAACAAGAAGTTCATTCAGCATTTAGTTTA